AGGAAATACGCCGAGGGTCACTGGGCAGCTGAGGCTATACCCAATATCACCCCGGAGTCACAAGGACCCACCCCGGTTTATCTGCTCCACAGCAGGTATCACACTTGGACAGTATTGCTTCGTTTGTCGCATTTCGTCTGTCTCCCCCGCTTGAATGTACCACAGGCCCAGGGGACAGGACGGGGTAGGTGGTCAATATATCGTTCTTGAACGGGGAAGTGGCGGTTACACGAACGCGTACCTCAAGGAATGAATGAGTGAAAGGACGAACGAATGACCCGGAGCCTGGCCTAAGCCCCTCAGCTCTCCTCATGCCCAGCGGCCCGCGGGCCGGGCGCGCCCCAGGTGAGCGCTCGGAGCCACAGTCCCCAGCCTCCGCCTACGGCGGCCGGGAGGCGTCAAGCCACTTCGGGGCGGAAGAGCCAGCCCGGAGGGGCCCGACTCGCGCGCACGCAGGCGCGGGCACCCACGCTTCCGGGAGGTCACTTCCTCCCCTGTCTCGTAGCAACGGCTGGCAGCGTTGCTGACATCGCGGGCCGCGGTGGCTACGAACTGAGCTCAGAGTCTCGCCGCCCGCGCGATGGTAAATCCGGGGGCTCTGTCCGCGACCCGCCGCTCCAAGGGCAGCGACCGGCAGGGGACCTTCGCTGTCCCGCTCCCGGGGCCGACCCAGGCCCGGCCGGGCCCGGGGCCGGGGCGAAGGCTGGGGTCTCCAGAAGCTTCTTGGAGGAGTGACACGGAGACCCTGGAGGGACCAGAGGGCGACCGTGGAGGGAGGGAAGATGATGTCTAGATGGGGGAAGCTATCTTGGGGCATAGATATCTGGGGGGGTGACTTCTGAGGCGTGATACTTGTGGAGGGAGGGTATCGAGAAAGAGAAGAGAGATACGGAGGGGATGAAAGATCCTGAGGGGAAGGAGAAATCTCCTTGACGGCGAGGCAAGTTTGAAAAGGGGAGCGGCGCGAGGGAGAAGAGAAAAATCACCCTGAGAGGGAAGAAAGAGAGGGGACAAGGAACGCAAGGAAATGGAGAGAGGGGAGAAGGAGTTATTGAGAGAGAAGAAAGGGAAATAAAGAGGCAGCAGGAATGGGAGGGGGAGGAGAAGAAAAGGAAAATGGAGAAGGTTTGAAAAAGAACAAAGTGAAAGAAAAAAGAACAAAGTGAAAGCAGAGTTTCTTTTTAAGAAAGGAATGAAAAGCGAATTGGCGATGGGAATTAAGAGACTGTATTGGGGGGCTCAAAAATCACCAAAGGAGAAAACACCTGGGAAAAGAGAGGGAAAGGCCGGGAAGATCAGCGAGAGGCGTTTGGGAGAGAAGTAAAACAGGAAAAGATAGAACGAGGGCAGCGGTTGTAAGGACCTGTGGACGTTGTCTTACAGATGGCAGAAAACTGTAGTAAGTCATTGATCTCTGTACAGCTATTACGCTTTAAGTTCAGTGTTTCCCAACGTGAGATGCAGACGTTAGTTGCTACTTTAAGATGGCTCAGAAAACCAAAAATGAACCAAAAGTGAATCACATCGGAGAAAGTTATTCCTCTTTTTTTTTTCAGCCTTTAGACTATATCCAGGAGAGAGTTTCTGGCACTGTTAGGTCGTTAATACGACTATCCTTTGGTCGTTTTGATTTTTCACCTGAAGGGCAGACCTCAGGCTCAGAGCTTTCATTGGGGTAAAATTTAACAATATGTTTCTCTCTTTGTTTCGTTTGTTTTTATGGTTATTTCTGCCTATGACAAATGATACCAGGCTTACATTTGTGGTAATGATGTATAATTTCCTTTTAAAATGCATTTAAGCTTTTAGCAGTGAAATAATTTTAAGAATGTGCTGGGTAAATAATATAGATGGTATTCATAATGGCAAAAATTATAAATCTAGTACATGAATGCCTGAAATTTAGAAAACACCTGCTATAGTGGTGGAAAGAGGAAATAAGTGCTCCCACCCATATTAGGGACAAAAGAAAACTGTCTTTTGACTAAAGCAACATAACGTTCACCTGTACAATGCTGGAAAGAAAAATATATCATAAATCCTCATCAAGAGACTCTGCAGAATACTGTTTGAATTCAGAATATCCAGTGATTACTCAGTTATGGAAAATATGCAGGCTGGAAAAAATTATTCTTGATTTTAGCATTTGGAGAAGGCAAGAAACTGGTACAATATATATACTCTATGCATGTGATTCAGAAAGCTGAGTTTAAAACCCAGTAGTGGGGTTCCAACATAATCACTCATGGTTGAACGTTCATCTTGCACTGAGATCCAGGCTGTGGTTACCAGTAGAATCCTGGAATACACTGTTTTTACAGAATATTTTGAATTTAACCATCTGAACTCCCAATTAGGTGGCATTTAGAACTGAGAATATGATTTCTCATTAAGTGATGCTTTTAGACAGAAGGAGGCAGTGATACAGCTCTATAAATATTTTTTAAATCTATAATGTAGAAAAGAGATTTTTCACTTGAATACAGAAAGATCAATGAATGAAAGATGACCAGGAGCAGATTTCTGTTCAACAACATAGGATACTTTTCCAGTAAATAGAGACAGATAAAAATGGAGTGAGCTCTTGTGAGGCAAGAAGCTTTTTGTCTCAACAAGAGTTCAAGCCAAGATATTTGTCAGGGTTGTACGTAGAGGGTCTTACATAGGCTTGCATATGGGACCTGACAATTTCAAAGCTCTCTTCCAAAAATCTGAGCTTCTAAATCTTAGTTTAAGGAGATTGGAGAATAGGGGTCTTTCAGAACATTACTCTAATTAAGACTGGGGTCACCACAAAGACTCTTTGGTTAATTTTCTTCCTGATCTCTTCCAGGCAGAGGTGGAGGAAACCCTCAAGAGGATCCAGAGCCACAAAGGGGTTATAGGAACGATGGTTGTAAATGCAGAAGGTAAACACCTCACAGGCTGCCTTCTTGACAGGCAGAAGCCGACCAAGAGCCTGTTTGTTGTGTGAAGCCTTAGGCAAACATCTTGGAATTTTAAATCAAAAGTATATCTTGTATATTTTAGCCAGAGCATTTACTCATCATACATCTATTGAGTATCTATTAATTACATGTCAAGAACTCTGCTAAGAGGTAGGGAGATAAACATTAATAAGACATGCCTAAAAACGCCTATATATTCCTAAGAAATGCTGCACATTGTCTAATTTTTAAAGCTTTGGTAACTCTTTTTTAACATTTCAGGAGTATCAATAAAACTATTATATTGAAGATAGAAAGAATACCATTGTTGGCAGTTTGCTTTCGTTTTAACATTGTAAAGCGTACAGAGTTTCAATCTTCATTTTTAAAAGAAATTGTTCCTTTACCGTAGTTAATGAAATCTTTGAGAATTAATTTTAATGTAATTTATAGTATAGTCTTTGTGGTTATAGTTTAAGAAGGGCCAATACGTTTCCACCTATGAAATCTGTAGACATATACCAGAGACTTGCCTATTAACAATCCCCAAAGCCTTTTCTCTGGCACACTGTTCCATGCTCAGCTATGGTGGCAGCCTCTTAAAGGCCAGAATTCTGCTGGCTTCATTGCTGATTGAGGCATTTGCAAGGGCAAGAGGTGCCACAAACCCCAGAGCACTAGTTGAAATAAGAGTAGCTACTTCACACAGTCCATGGTACAACCATGGATTTCGTACATCACCAGCTCAGTGCTTGGCAACAGACTCTCATAGCTAATCATTATTCTGGAGCAAATCCATCAATAAATATTTAGTGAGCAACTACCCACTGAAAGTCTGTTTAAACTCTAAACTTCAATCCCTTATCATTAAAAATGCAAAATAACCTACTTTACTGGTGACTGTGACAATTAAGTGAAATAATAATTGTCACGTGCCTGGCACAATACCTAACACTTAACAGAATTGTAATTAAATAGTTCTGTGAATGTGGGAATTTTTGATTTATTTGTACAGATAAAACATTTGATGTGTTTTACAAAATAATAAAATAAAATTTTAATAAACTCAGTGTCAAATGAATATAATAAATTCACCCAGCTTGAGTGATCAGGAGGGAGAGGACTTAACATCAGCCTACAGGAAAGTCAAGAGCTATGCCTCATATTTCCAGGAAGCGGTCCAGCCCAAGTCCGTGGTTCTGGTTGAACTGATTTTAGTTTCAGGCATTTGCATAAACTCTGCCACACCCCCTAAGATAGGTTACTTGCGTGACTTCACAGAGATGCTTTATTTGTTTTCTTTGGCTGCCATAACAAAGCACCACACACTTAGTGGCTTAAAAAAGATTAGACATTTATTTTCTCTCAGTTCTGGAAGGCTAAAAATTGAAATCAAAGTGTCAGTGGGTCCAGGCTCTCTTCAGAGGCTCCACAGGAGGATCCTTCCTTGCCTCTGCCCAGCTTCTGGTGATTTCCAGAGATCCTTGCTGTTGACTGGTCTGTAGGTGCATCACTCCAGTCTCTGCCTCCATCATCGTGTACGTTCTCCTCTCTGTGCTCTGTTTTCTCTTCTTATAAGGACCCGTCGTTGGATTAGGTCCCACACTGATCCAGTATGACCTCATTTTAACTAATTACATCTTCAAAGACTCTATTTCCAAATAATGTCACATTCTGAGGTTTAGGCTGGGCTTGAATTTTGGAGGGGACACTATTCAACCCAGTCCAGGTGCATTCACCTGTGACACCCTGGACAATGTATCTAATGTGTTACTTTGGAAGACTTAGTCTAAAGTACATACTCCTGGCAATATGCATCAAATGTCTGAAGAATATCCATACCTTATGATCTGTAATTCCACCCCTAGAAATTTGTTTAAGAAGTGATGAAGAAAAGATTTAGGTGCAAAGGGTATTACGGAGGCACCATATATAATAGCAGTAAATAAACAGACAAGTACATAAAGCCCAACAGTAGGGAAATTTTTAAACTTATTATATAATATTTACTCAGTGAACCATTACTCTATTTAAAATGTTGAAGAATATTTAGAGTCATGAAAAACTACTCACAATATTAGATGAAAAAAAGCAGGAGACGAAGCAGTAGCCAGCATCTTCTAATCCTAAATACGGCCAGGCAGACATACACTCTGAAATATGGAAGAAAAGGCAGGGCTGTGTTACGGTGATGATCTCTGAGTGGTAGAATTAAAAATGACTTTTGTTTTCCTGAGGTCTCTCAATTAACACTCTTCTCATCCAAAGGCAACAAAATACTACTTTTAATACCCATTAACTTCTAATTAACCTCTACTAGGATAAGGTTGTGTTAGGATTCAGGGCACTTTTCTGAAAGCCAAATTAACCTTCTTCCCAAAAATACAAATGAGGGGCTAATTTTTATGGTCGGATTATTAACAACCAGAGGATATGACAAGGATGTTTACTAACAGCACATGGTATAAGTTGTGTGACCAGAATGAAATGAAATACTCCATCTCAACAGCCTAGTCAATTGTAGATGAAAGTGCTATGTATTACGGTGCAGCTTTGCAGCTCTCAGAAGTCCCATGAAATTTAACACTGAAAATATTTAACTAAGCTAGTGTTCATGTGTTCTTGTTCTGTACCCATGGCTTTAGTCCACTAGTTCTAGGCAAATCATTTTAACAAATTTTTAGGTTTTAATTGTGGCTAGGTAGGCCTTCTACCCCACGTTTATCCATTTAGATCTCATCCTCTGCCATGTTAAATAGTGTCCTTTGGTTTCACTATTATTGAAACATAGACTTCTTATTCATGACAATAAAGTGGACTTACCAATTTCGCCCAATGCTGAGGAGTATAGGTTTTTGTTAGATTCTTTGTTAACAATGGTTTCCCATTTACAAAATAATTCATTGTTTACAGTATTGCAGTTCTGATCACAGAACTAGATACTGGTGAACATGTATATTTGTTTCCCAGACAGTCATATCTGTCATATATTCTTATGTATATAAGCCTGATTTCTGCAGACTCTTAATTTTAAATATTCTTGACATTTCTAACAATCCGTCATTTGAGTTTCATTAGGTTTTATCAGCCATCCAGCCAATTCCTTTTATTTTTGAAATATAATCTATCAACCAAATGTACAGTTGAAGAATACCAGCTTACTGGGATCATGATGAGTCATACTGTAAAGTAGTGTCATAAGTTCAGGAAGATAGAATATATACTCTTTGTTCTAGAAGGTACATTTTAGGAATTTATCCTACACATATATACAAATGTGAAATGGCATGCACACAGACATATTCTGTAGCCTTGTTTATAAAAGTCAAAAATTGGGAACAGCCCAAATGCCTGTCAGGAAGATATATTAGTTACATGTATTACAAAGCATCCATTCAACAGTCACATTACACAGACATTAACATGAATGACCTAGCCTTATGCGGACTGAATGGAACAACTTCCCGAGTGTATTAAATGAAAAAAGTTAAGGTACAGAATAGAAAATGATACAGTTAAAGAATACAAACACAAACATACTGGAATAGACTTAGAATATCTCTGCAAGGACACCAAAGAAACTGAGAACAGTGGTTACCTGTCAGAAGGGGAAGTTGGTGAATTTTATACTATGTGCTAAAATTACTTCCTAATAAATTATTTTTTAATTACCTCACATAGTCTCAAGCAAGAACTCAATAAATATTTGTTGATTGATTTTTTTTTCCAAGGGTCTACAGTGGATATGAAAAACTCCAAGAGTTTCCACGGTGTGCACTTATTATTCAGAAAGGCTAGCCCTTTTATTTATTGACTTGGATCATGAATAGACTGACTAAGTAGGCCTGAGTATCTGATTCATAATCCTGTCATCTACAGTTTGAATAATTTATTCTGGTTGTATTTCTTTTTTGACACTGAGAAATGCAGACTTTGTAGGTAGTTGCTCTTCATGATGCAAAATAAAACTGTTTGGTCAAAAAGTGCCCTTGAAAGGTTGAGTGCTTGCTATACTTGTTTCCTGCTTGTTAAAGACACATGCCTTGTGATGGTTCATCAGTTGTGAAAGACAGAACTGACTTCTGGAGAAAAAGTGGCCAAGAAACAATAATACAGAAATTAACAACTTTTCTGTAAAACCTTACTTAAATAGGTTTTCCTGTAAATACTGTCAGTTGCCTTCTTTGGCAAGACCTACTCTGGAGAGAATGGCTTTCTTAAAAAGAAATTAGTCTGTTTCAAAGTCAGAGTTGAGGCTCTCAAAAAGTTTCATGAAAAACAGGTAAAGTCCCAAGTTAGAAGCACTCATCTTGTTTACCAGTTTCTGGAGCTACATTCTCTGAGGGAAAACCCAAGAGAGCCAGGTCAGCCTTTTTTATTGATTGGCCTTAATTCAGGTTCTTGAGGAACTTGACAGTGATCCCAAATTCACCTTCGTATGTCTCCCTAATTTAGCAAGGCACATCTGCAAATCAGATCCCTGGAATTCCCTGGTTGATTTGGTAGTTTTCAAAATAATATGAAGGCCGGTTCTGATTAGACATAGTATATGTAAAATACCTAGCACAGCACCTGTTCCATAATAAGCGCTGAGTGACCTGAATGGAGCTGGACTGATATGAACTGAATTGAATTATACTTGCATATTCGTCTGGCTAGATTTTTCCAGTTAAATTAATAGCTTCTGTTTTAAACTCATATAATGAAACAATAGAGCACACAAGTAGCCAAATTTAATCATGCTTAAACCAAGAGTGAGTGCAAACCAGGGAATGCCCAGCCAAACTGCAGAGTCTTTGTTGCTGTATTTTCTAGCATAAAAATTAAGGTTTGCAAAATACCATATGAGGAAGTTACAAAGAAATTCTGAAAATCCCTTTTGATACACCCTCTAGCATGTGCAGTGATTATCCCCTTTCTATTTCTGGCCTCAGGGGAGAAACTAGCACCATGTCACAGACCAAGCATTTCACAGTGGACTCACCGTAGACAGGATGCTTAGGGGAATGCATTTTGTATAGTAATATGTTAACTTAGTACTGAAATAATCAATTAACAACTTCCAGAAGACTTGTGTACAAAAATGTTCATCACCATTAGCTACAAAAACAAAAACACACTACCTAACAATCCAACAGTGGGGGGTTGATTATATTATGATATATCCCAAAAAATACTAAGTCTACAGCCATTAAAAATAATGTTGATGGCATCGTCAACAAGGACAGCTTGTATGCTATAATTTAAATGAAGAAAAAAGCAACAGTCAAATATGTAATTATAGTTTGATGCAACTAAATTTTAAAATCCACGTAATGGCAAAACGATTGGAAGGAAATAAAATTGTTACCTTTGAGTGATACGAGCCATCACTTTTTCTTCCTTTTTACAATTACAGTATTTTCCAGTATTTCTACGATGCACATATTACTTTTATAATCAAAATAAAAAATGTTTAACCCCAAATTAAATCTCGTACCAGGCATTCCCATCCGAACGACCTTGGACAACTCGACAACAGTTCAATATGCAGGTCTTCTTCATCAGCTGACCATGAAAGCCAAGAGCACAGTCCGTGACATTGATCCTCAGAACGACCTAACTTTTCTTAGGATCAGATCAAAGAAACATGAAATCATGGTAGCTCCAGGTAATTTGGCATTTCTTTTCATTTTTTAAGGCATCTTTCTACTTTACTGGATAAAAGCTTTGTCTCAAAGACGGGGAGTGTGGATTTTAACATGCAATATGACACATAATGCTCTTCAATTACAAAATGAATAAGTTTGAATGTGAAAATTCCGTGAAATTGGTAAAGACACTGAATTTTGCCCATTTGTTTTTGTTGTTAGTAATCAAACCATTTAGGAGGTGTAGGTTTCCTGTTATGTGAACTTAGCACACAGACTTTCTGAAGAGTGGGAGAAATGTCTCCTGTCCAGGGGATAACGTAGAGGGCAGATCAAAGGTCTGTAGGGTCTTAAACCTTCCCTGGAGTAGACCACATTCACTGGGGCTATCAAAAGACAGCAGCCACAGAAATACTTCTTTCCTTGAAGGAGGTACATTCACAGTTTTAGTGGACGTCAGTGTAAAACAGGACTCACGTTCCTAAATCTAGTCTAGAACAAATTTCGCTGTAGTACAACTGTAAAATCAGAGTTACCCCCAAACTAAATAAAGCTTTCCCTACACCTGTGTTCTCACCCAAGCTGCACACTGGAATCACTTGGAGAGCTTAAAAAAAAAAGACTGATACCTGGGACTCCACCCCAGACGAATAAAGACAGAACCTCTGGGGCTTGGCCCCAGGTAATGGTATTTTCTGAAAGCTCAACAGGTGATTCTGGTGTGCAGCCAGGCTGGGAGCCCACTGGTCTACACAAGGTCCAAGTGATGTGTTGAAGAGAAAAGCAGATTAGCTGAAGTATTCATTTATTAAATTTAATTTTTAGGGTGGATTAACTTTGTCCATATCTCTCCACAGATAAGGAATATCTTCTGATTGCCATTCAGAATCCATGTGAATAGACCTGCAATGGCCAAGTTCTGTCCTGGGACTCCAGGCTGAAACACTTCACTCTTTAAAGATTCCTAAAATTATAATCCAATCTAAATGATCTTTTGGATATTCCTTTCTATTTTTACATTTAAACTCTTCTACATGTCTCATTTAGTCCATTTCGAATGTATTGTAAATTTGTGATTTAGCTAGATAATAAATAAATTCTGGTATGTATGCCTCATTTTTTTACGATACACAAAACCAAAGAATTCTAGTGAGAAGACAGCCTTCCTTGAGACAGTTCTTTTCGTCTAGAAGTAATGGCCACCAAGAATTAGAATAAGTGTGATTCTGCCCATTTCACTGACATGCCAGGGAGTTTCAGTGGAGCAGAGTGGGGCTAGGAGGGAAGCAGGGCGTCCCAGCCCTCAAGGAGTTATAGGTGCTTTCCCAGCTTAAACGAGGACGGTAAGAAGTCAAGAGGGCAGTTCTCAGTTGGGTCAGTGCTGCCCCCTGCGAAACTCCTCAGGCCTGTCCTTCCATCACACCAGCATGAGGGGACCAGGAGTGGGTCCTGAGGAAGGATGCACACGTCAAAAGCTGCCTAGAGAACTCCAGAGGGTTTATTTATTTTACTAGATATTTCAAACATTCTGAAAATAATGAAAATGGTAGAACAAATATAACGGATTTCCACAACCCATACAGAATAGATGTTAATCTTTTGCCGTGTTTGCCTTATAACCTCTTTTTTTCTCTAATTAAGCATTTTATTTTGAGATAACTGAGGATCCACGTGAAACTGTGAGAAATAACATAGATCCTGTGTACCCTCTACCCAGTTTCCCCCACGGCAACATCTTTCAAAACTATATTACAATATCACAACCAGGAAATGGACATTGATTCAGCCTAGATACAGAGCATTTCCATCACCACCCGAGCTCCTCGTGGTACCCTTTTGTAGCAACCCCCCAACCCCTGGCACCCACTAATCTGTCCTCCACTTCTGTAATTTTGTCATATCAAAATAGTTGTTATATAAATGGAATCCTACAGTACGTAGCCTTTGGAGATTGACTTTTTTTACTCAGCATAATGCTGTTGAGATTCATCCAAAAAATAAACATTATGGATACAGCTGCAGCCCCTCTCCTCCTTTGTGCCTTGGTCCTCTCCTTCTCCGGAGGATCCTTGTCAGGATACACAAGTCACCCTGCATGGGGGTCCACAGACGCTTCCTCCTAAGTTCCCACAACTCCACAACAAGCCAAGAGTGAGGAATGGTGCAGGACAAGTTTAGTTCTGCCACTGCCATGGCACCAGCTTGCATCCTGGCAGGCTACAATAGCCCAACCCAAGCAGACAGTGGTCCGAGCAGAAAAGAAGGGCCAAGGCAAATCCCTCAGGTGAAAGGGGTTTACTCTCCACGTGGTGATGGTAGAGGAGACGGGCCAAGGCTGAAAGGGACCATGGTGGCTGAAGCCGAACAGTCAAGCCTATCCACGCAACAGACGTCAGCACCCCACTGCAAATCTCAGTGCCCCTGGAAAGTGGGACCCACATGAATATACTCTGAAAATGCTCTCCAGGTATTCGCAGTGCGGCTTCAGGCTGAGATCCACTGCGGTTACTCAACAGTGGGTCTTACTGGGGTAGTGAGGAGAGTAGCCCAAGACACACATAAATACAAGTTCCATCCGGGAACAGCCCTGGGGTTCTCCCACATCATCAAGCCAGCTGAGCCCTAGATTTACAAGGAGGATGCTGTCTCTATCTCCGGAGAGAACAGAACAAATGAGGAAATGAGCTTAAATTACAGCAGAAGTGAGTTCTTCTAAAAAAGTGAGATGAATAAACATCAAAGAGATTGCAGGATGGAGAACCTATACTATAGCACGTATTAGACTTTCGAGCATTTTCCCCACACTTTTTGTTTTAAAAAACTTCAGTTGGGCTTCCCTGGTGGCGCAGTGGTTGAGAGTCCGCCTGCCGATGCAGGGGACACGGGTTCGTGCCCCGGTCTGGGAGGATCCCACATGCCGCGGAGCGGCTGGGCCCGTGAGCCATGGCCACTGAGCCTGCGCGACCAGAGCCTGTGCTCAGCAACAGGAGAGGCCACAACAGTGAGAGGCGCGCATACCACAAAAAAAAAAAAAACTTCAAAGTTGCAGAAGAGGAGAGAATGAACACCCACATAAGCTTCACCCACATTCACCAACTCAATATTTTATAACATTTGGTTCATGTCTCTCCCTCCCTCCCCATATATATATATATATATATATATATATAAAACACCCATAACCCCTACTTAAGAAATTATTATTATTGATACAATAATATCATCTAATATAGTCATGTTCGAATTTCCTCAATGGTCCCAATAGTGTCCTTTATAGATATTTTTTTTAATCCAGGAGTCTATCAAGGGTAACATATTGCATTTGGTTGTCACGTCTCGAGCTGTTCAGCTGTTTTTAAAACCCCTGTGTTCTATTCTCCCCCTCTAGGTGGTATCGAATTTGTATTTGTTCTCCCTGGAGTCCCCAGGACCATCTGCTCCGCAGCCTCCTTGAGCCCCTCCTGATTGGACCCAGATGCAGCCTGTAATTATAATTCAGCCCAAGAGCAGGTCTGGGTCACAGGTGAGTGCTTCCCCTTCCTTCTGTCATGACTCAGAGACCAGACAAACCACCATGGACCCAAACTCATCCTTCAGCCAGTGAGGTCTGGGTACCAGAATACCCACTCGCCCAGGCACAGCTTCTATGTGTGCTGACAATTTCCAACGTAAATAACATCCTGTTAAGAGTCCAAGCAGGAAGGAAATGCACTATTGAGGGAGAGGATCACCGATATCATCTATCTGATGCCTTGGTTTTACAGGTGAGGATTTCACCTGAGCCTGACGTCCAGTGTTGTTCAGGAATCAAGTATGTCAGTTTGTACGGAACTGGTCAAGCCTCTGGAATTGGTCCTCATGATCTTATCAGGGGGCTCATGCTCTTGTGAGACCCCCCCATACCCTCCAGAAAAAAACTATTTTGAGGAGGTAGAGATTAGTGCATTGTTTTAAAATGTACCAGAAGTAACATCTGATTCCAATCCCTAAATCTGTCATCTCCCCATTGTTCCCCAGCCTACCCAGAGCTCATCAGCAGACACATGGCTGAGTGGTAAAGCCACTTCCTTCCTCCTGGCCCAGCCAGAAATTTCAAGCCCCATTTGAGACGTAGCAGTGGGAAACCTCTGGCAGGTGCAGATGCCGCTGCTTTAAGTGCCAGGGCTCTGTGTGGGCTCTTTTGTGCAAGGAGACCCTTCCATCCCAGTCTCATCCCACTTGGCAGGGAACTCTGCTGTGGTCCTGCCTGCACTTTTGCATCCAGAGGAGACAGTAACCCTTTGCTAGAGGCCGAGACTGTGGTATAGAACTTGCCAAAGCCAATGACAATGGAGGAGGATATAATCTTGGGGAATCTGTATCACCCCTCTCTGCCTTCCAGCACAGAGGCATTCACATTCCGCTTGGATTCCTAACAGCACAGTAAATTAACTCTTATTTAAAAAAACCTAAGAGATGCCTGGATCTATAAAGATCCACACTCATACAAAACCATTGATAAAGTTTTCATTTCCTACGAGAAGTACAAGCCTGGACTCACTGGTGCCTCCCCTTAGTCCGAATGGCTATAAACTTTACCTGAACAATAGGAGAGCTATTTGCAGACTCTCTGGAGGAACATATCTCAACCATCAATATTAATGAGAATGAACCTGGAAAGACCAGCTTAATAAAATAACTGAAATGCATTTACACATCATTAGCATTACGAGCTCCCAAATCTTCATCACTGAACAGCAGGACCATCTGAGAAGGGGATGAGCGGCAGCCTGCCCAAAGCTCCAGCAGGTGCCTGCCTCTCAAAGCCACTTTCACTGGTTGCATTCTGGCTTTGGGGCCAGATCGCCTCTTCCAAAGCAAAAATCACCATAGACTAAGATTTGGATTCTCCACCCCCCCACCCTCTCTTGGTCTTTGAAAAATTACAATTATCCCCAATATGTCTTCTGAATTTAGAAAATACGTAATATATGCCCTTGAATAGGAAAAGATAACCAGAGATAGTCATTCAGTCAAGCAATATTTAGTCTTACATTCCCCATTTGAAGAAAAAGTAGATCATGTTTGGGGCCATAACAGAGCTTTCAGAGTAGTGAAAACATCTCCAATGAGGAGTCTTAACAAAAAATAAAGTGGTATTTCAAATCCTAGGAGATCCTAGGTCTAGACTCCCACCTCAGTATGAAACCATCTCTAGTAATGGAAGTTCAGGCAACCCCAGGGAAGCTCTGGGTATTTTTAGGATCTGGAATATTTCAGGTCAGTAACACTTTTCTGTATATTTCTTAGGCAAGATTTGACATAGAGGGTTGGGTTGGCCTTGTGCTCAGCCACACCCTGAACACAGAGAAAAAAAGACTCAACCTTCTTACTTCCTCCTGGGTTCTGACTCTGGGAAACCTCCTCTCCTTCTTCCCTTCACCACACATGACCTCAGGACTGCCTCTCTTGATGCCCTCAACCTTGAACATTCCTGCTGCGTGCATAAATGATTTTCGAATTCTCTTTCTTTGGTCAACTTTACACCATGAGATGTAAAGATGGTGCAGTTGAAAGATCACGAGACCTACAGTCTGACTCGACTTATTTGTTAGCAGGATCCCCAACTTCTCTGAACCTCAGTTTACTCACCTACAAACCTGAAGAACACCCGCCCACAGTGGCCTTGCCTCCTGAGCTACACTGTACAGCATAGGTACCAATTATTATGATTAACTATAGCAATAGCGGCCAAATAAACCAAGTTTACCAGAATATAAGTCACTGAACACATCTCACTGTGGCCTCTTCTACTCTTTAACCATACGTAAAAATGGATTTAAAGAGTTATAATCCTGCTGGGTTCACACTTCTGTCTAATTCCTTTAGTTATCATTTAATAAGCATTGCCACGGGGCAGCGGGGAGGGATAAGTTGGGAGACTGGGATTGACATATACACACTACTATATACAAAATAAATAACTAATAAGGACCTACTATATAGCACAGGGAACCCTTCTCAGTACTCTGTAATGACCTATATGGGAAAAGAATCTAAAAAAGAGTGGGTATATGTATATGTATAACTGATTCACTTTGCTGTACAGCAGAAATTAATGCAACATTGTAAATCAACTATACCCTAGAATTTCTTTTTAAGTAGAGTGAAGGGACAAAGGCCCATTTTAAAAAAAGCATTGCCACATTCCTATATTGATTTTTCTTAATATCTGCATGCAACTCAATCAAGCTTGTCGGTGGTGACCTGACCAGACGAGGCCAATGAGAGATGCTTCCTTGGTATTTAGATTTGAAAGAGAGTCAGAGAGGAAGTTTCCATGTGGCCGGACCTGTGCACAAAGACAGGGGCATTGGGGAGGCCGTATTTTTCCCAGAGGGATAGCAGAGAGAGAGAGCCTCCTGGAAGGAAGGGATGTAGCAGCTGTGCATCACAAGCAGGGTGAGAACAGTGTTCCTGCCATGGGTTCCCGGCAGCCTTCGAGGTCCTCAGCTATATTTTTACCCTTGGGTTTACGAAACTCCTCTAATGCCTTCAACACAGTGTTCCCCTTTGTGTACACTACCAGAGTGGGTTTTATCTGTTGCCTGAAACCCAAAAGTCCTTAGCTAACATTTTGGGGCTATATTTGGGTCGCCCCCGGCTGCTTTAATCAGACATGGTCAAAGAGCCCAGTAACCCCCCAAAAGCGTGTGTTAATCAGAGGCCCTGAACAGATGTTTTGCGGTCTCTCACTCCCCCGCTTCAAAACATGCCCCATGGCTTTAGCAATACAGCGGGGGAGGCCAGTGCTGGACACTCCAGGAGGCAGAGCTCTGGGTGGGAGTGTGGCACTGAGATGCCCCTCTAACTGGGCAGCAGGCACTCTAGTTCATTCCCACCTGGAAAGTGGCCTCTGCCTCTGTCATTGGCTGGAAAGAGAACAGGCCACCTGGACTCTAGGCAGATACATTCCCAAAGCACCTCTCCGGGTGGCCTGGAGTATCTGAATTGGCAGAGTCATAAGAGAGACAAAAGGAATAAAGAAGTAAGGTACAGATTCACCTGACAACCTACCACCCCCTTGCCCCCAGAAGGCAGCGCGGTGCTGAAGGAAGGATGCTGCTTTGTAGCCAGACTGTCTGGTAGCCAGCCCTGCCATCAATAAGTAATAGTAATAGTAATAATAAAACTATTATTTATGTTATTACTTTTTTTTTTGTGGTCCGTGGGCCTCTCTCAAATTTAAAATTTAAAATTTAAAAATTTTTAAAAGTGTTATTACTTTTAGAAGAAGAGAAAGAAAAAGAAGAAGAGGAAGAAAAGAAACGAAAAGAACACCAGCAGGTGCTGACATTCGTTGATGACTTACCAGTGACAGGCACTTTGGATTTTCACAACAGCGCAATTTACAGACAGGAACACCAGGCCTCAGAGGAGTTTCACAGCTTGCCTAAGTTCAAGCAAGTGTTAAGTGTCAGAGGAGGCACCAAAACCCCAATACTTGTCTCGGGCACACCTGTTGCCTACGTTGCTGACTCAGCAGATACGTGACAAGGAAATTAACATCTCTGAACCTTAGAATCCTTACCATAACTTCTACATGGCCGGTTGCTGGGAGACAAAAAGAAATTATATAAAGCCCCTGACACTAAGTAGATGTTCAACAAAGGGGAGTTGCTGCTGTCATCATCACCATCATAAGTACTACCTAGAGAACCAGTAAGTGCTGGGAGATGACCATCACAGCAATTATGTTCTTGTTATAAATATGATCAGTGTCACAGTGTTGACATTTAACAATACTCCGTGGGGTTCATCAGGGCAATTACTCCTAATTCTTTCACCAAACCCCTCAAATCCCCAACAACCCACCATCCATCTGGTCTATAGGATGTCAGACTACCATTCCATTCATGCAATGTCATCATATCAGGAATTGCTCGTAGGACCAATCTCCCCATCAAGAATGCAACTACTGTTTTGTATGTTCCTCAAGCCTATGTTTTATCCCCCTCCCACTGTGTCTAAACAGAAACCTGGTTTGTACTACGCTTAATCCCCCTCCCATTCCGTCCACATTCGTAACCTGTTTGAACCATTCCTTCCTTTCCCCTCCCCACCCTGCCTACACATATAACCAGCTTTTCTATTTAGTCTGGATTGATGGATCCATTCAATCCATCAGACTGATTTTCTGGTCTGTAGTAACTGTCTGCATTGACTCAACAATCCGGTAAAGAGAAGTTATGCATTTGGCAGTCTGTTAGGCTTAAAGACACAAACCACCTTATTCTTACCCCTACCCAAGTGCCTGGCAGAAAATGTGGCACAGGGTGGGTACTCAGTCTGTAGGGTAGTCAACATCTCTATTCCCACCCAGGCCCTATTTTTTTTTTTTTAATGCGGTACGCAGGCCTCTCACCGTTGTGGCCTCTCCCGCTGCAGAGCACAGGCTCCGGACGCGCAGGCTCAGCGGCCATGGCTCACGGGCCCAGCCGCTCCGCGGCACATGGGATCTTCCCGGACCGGGACACGAACCCGCGTCCCCTGCATCAGCAGGCGGACTCTCAACCACTGTGCCACCAGGGAAGCCCCCGGGCCGTATTTTAGAAACACTGTTCCCTGGATCATGGGACTGGTCCATCAAGTTAATGAGCGCCTTTTAAGTGGACATAGTTAGCTACATCCTCCAAGGACACTCAAGACGGGATTCTGACCAGTTAGAAGCTTTAAAACTTCTCAATTCAGATTGCAGGATGAATTAAAGAAGCTCATTGACTGTCATGGGCCTCCTTCTGCATCTGTACTTTCCGCTTCCTGAACCAGCTCCAAGGAAATACCTGCCCCCGCCGACCCCCGTCAATGCCAGGAGAGCAGAAGGCCCAGCTTCTGAGAATAGGTCCCAGTATTCACAGCTGCACCCTTTGTGGAGCATGGATGGGAGGCCTGTGTCAGCAGGTCCCAGACCTTTGGGGACTGCGCTGGCGCTAGCCTCATCAGATTACAAAGCCCCAAATGGTGCTGTCAGCCAGATCCTTTATCCAACACCAACTTTAAGTTGTTCACAAACTCTGAACCTTCCGGTTGGGTATTTGATCATATCTCAGGGACGCAGGGGGAAAGTGAATGTCTAGTGTCTCCAAGAAAGAAAGAAAAAAAAAAAAGCACAACACCGTCAGTAATGTCAGGAGGAGAGGAAAGAAGATGTTATCTGAACATGTTTACCTGCTCTTGCCAAGCCCAGCAATTTCTGGGAGATGCAAGCAGAGATGAATAACCATTTATGAAATTTCAAATTAATAAAAATACTGGCTCCATCTGAGAATTGAAAGAAGGTGCGCTTCTTAATCAGGGAACCATTAACCAGGTCGTGCTCGTTCTGCAAGCATGTAACCAGTAATGACTCCGCCCAGGAGCAGACATAGGTGACATCATCCCTGCCCCCAACGACCTCCTAGTGTAGAACGGAGACAGGTGTGCAAAGAATACATTTTCAACACAGTGAGATAATGGCGACCAAAGAAGTATGCGTGAGGGCCGGTGCCAATGTCATGCAGAAAAAGGACTGATAAAGGCTTGGTGTTTAAGAAAGGAGGCATTCAAGAAAGCAAACACATCTGAGCTGGATATTAAAGGCGGAATAGGGGTTTACAAAGTTAAGGGGAAGGAAAGAGCAATCTGGACGGGACGAAGTGTAAAGTGAGGCATAATCTACGCCAGTGGTCTTTAAACCTTGCTTTAGGAATAGACCCTTGTTCATGCACAGCGGCAAGTAAAGCTGCTCTCCACGAGGCAGGGTGGGCCCTTCTCCCGTTCTGTCCTCCCCTGCTCTTTGCCCCCGACACTTACACACAACGGTCATTCAGGGGCCCCACCCCAGACCTGCTGAATCAGCACCTGCATTTAGGAAGATTCCCAGGGACCCTCGTTCCCATTCAAGTTGGAGAAATGCTCCTCCAGGATGAGGAAATCTACAACAAGAGCCCCCCAGAGAGGGGTTAGGGCTAGGAGTTTAGGAACACTGTCGGTCTACCCTTTTTCTCTTCCTGAAATCTTCCTCGACGGCCAAGCCCAGGCCACCCAAAGCCACAGTTCAGAGGAAGAGCTAGGGAGAGAAGTAAAAGGATGTCATACGGCAGTCGACTTATGCCTCAATCCCGACTAAAAACAAAACGAGGAAGGAGACAACCTGGAAAATCCAGCCAAAGCTGATTCTCCAGCCAGGTTTCACATCTCAAGCATTGGGGGATCCCTGGGGGCACCTCAGCCACCAATGAGTCAGCCAGTTTCCACGTGGCATCTCCACGACCTTCACCTTCGCTGGCTCCAAACCTCCCTGGCGCTCCTACCAGAGCTCTGGGCTCCGAACATCACAGATAACCTCCAGGTACCACCCCCTGACTCGCCACCACCGTCTCCTCCTGTGTCAGGCACAACTGCCACCCGTGAGGAAGGAAATGGCTCACCCCCCTTTCTGCTTGGGCTCCTTGTGAAGCCCACCTTTCAGTTTTTACACACACGGACTTTTCCTGAGACCACACCCCAATCTACAGTCAGATGATTCTTCCACTCACAGAAGTGAGGACTACAAAGCCCCCGTGCAAACAGGTTTCTGATGGCACCAGCCCACAATTGGCCTGATGTGCCTGGATCCCAGGGTGGGCGCCAGCAGGCTCCTGCACTATTTTTTCAACACCACATACAGTCATGGAGCCCAGGCCGTGTCCAGGTTCTTTATGATGTTACCCCATTGACCTCAAAATAACCTCACCTGGTAGACTTTATGCATCCCCATTTTCCTGACAAGGAAAATGAGGTTCCCATGAGGGCAGTATCTTGCCCAGAGTCACACTGCTTGACCCAAAGCCCCTTGAAGCCTGAAACAAGTCTTATTTATCATTGCCCCCCAAACTCGTGCATTGTTGAGTCTGCATTTAGTCTACACTCCGTGTAGAAAGTTTGGATGCAGAATAAATGAATCGTGCGTGTGGTATAATCCACATCACCGGTTTGGCGGGGGGCAAATAGGGGCACACACTTTAAAGAAATAAGGGCAACTTTACCACTGGAGCCTCCACCTCCCAGGTCCATAGGACATCTGAGGTCTCTCTCAGACCTATTCCTTCCCAGAACTTCCCAGAATATTGATTCCCGATTTGGGGTTGCCATTACTATTTCTACTGCCGTCAGCACTGAAAAACAGGCTGTTCTGCTCTCCAGATTAGGATACTCAGCTCCCACACAGCCATAAACACTATGTTTATGTGTCTGAAAACACACACATGTGGAAAGATTTTGAAAAATACACACCAAGATATTAACAACAGTGATTTCTGAGTGAGTGGGATTATGCCTGATTTTATTTTCTCCTTTTTACCCTTATTTTTGTTTTTCACCTTTCTACAATTTAAACTGTGATTGAAGTGGGATATGCAAACAAAAAGCACATAAAACATAAGGATGTAGCTCAATGAATCTTCACAAACTAGACACTTAGCATCCAAATCGAGAAACTAAACACGTCTGCCTCCCAAGAGGTGCCCTTTGAGCTTCCCTCTGGTCTCTAATGGCTGCCCCGAGGGTCACTAAGAGCCTGGCTTTTGTCACCAGAGATTATTACTTTTTTCTCTTTGTGTACTTTGGATAAGTGGAATTTTTTTTAATTTTTTTTGATGATGAGAAACAATGCCATATTTTATTTATTTATTTTTTTTGCGGTACGCGGGCCTCTCACTGTTGTGGCCTCTCCCGTTGCGGAGCACAGGCTCCGGATGTGCAGGCTCAGCGGCCATGGCTCACGGGCCCAGCCGCTCCGCGGCATGTGGGATCCTCCCGGACTGGGGCACGAACCCGTGTCCCCTGCATCGGCAGGCGGACTCTCAACCACTGCGCCACCAGGGAAGCCCAAGTGGAATTTTTTGTGTCTAGCTTCTTTCAACTGTCAGTACACTGGGGAGTCATCCATATTGTGAGTGGAGGGGTAGGCATCACTCATTCTCATCTCCATTTCTTGATTTCTTAAGTGTAGAAAATGTGACTTATGCATTTTTTCTTTGGGGGCAGGAGGGAGTCTATATCGAAGGAAGTATGGAGCCAGGTCTTTCCTTGCAGAAAGCAGGTCCACGAAATCAGGGCTGATTTCATTTAGAGAGATGGCAGAAAGAAATGAGAAAGACTGATGCTGCCAGCCACTGGTTCCCAGACGCCCACAGGTCCCCCATCCTGGTGCAGCGGAAAGAACATACACCTTGAAAGCTTAGGTTCAAATCCTGATTTGGCCACTCACCTCTCCAGGGAATGATGTTTGACACTAAGCCACGGTAAAATGGGGATGTCAGTAAAATTGTGTCCTGGAGCAGACATGCTTGCTCTCACCCACATCCCCTGCATTCATTCTACCATTTCTGTGTGCTCTTCTGCCGGCCTCCGGGGGAGGGGGGGAGGTTTGCA